ATGCATCCCAGCCCTTCTCACTTCTATATTTTGAGACAGAGCCTCGCCAGGGCTCTACACTGCCAGAAACTGTGATTCTCCTGCCTCAGCATCCTGGGGAGAGTTTTGTGTTTTACTGGTGACCTGCAGAATGCAATCCACGTCCAAGACCCCTGTCTCTCTAGCACTGACATGGCACCCTGGGTCCCCCGCTCCTCTCCGCCCTTAACCCCTGCAACCACACTACTCTGCAGGATAGAAAGCAGGGCTTGCGGAGGAGTGACGAAGAAGAGGCTGCAGGGCAGTACATGCACCTGGGCAAACACTCAAGCCGGCTCTTACACAGCTGCACATGTGCCTGGGTACCCACTGCCCCGAGGGCGAGGTCCATAGCAACTACTTGCACCCTAGATGTCCTCAGACATGGGGAACACACTGGGTTAGCCACACCCCCAGAATACTACTCAGTCATGAAAAAGGACCGGCTCCTGATACAAAGAAGAACTCAAAAGAGGGAGGGAAACCAGGCTCAAAAAGGTACCTAAGCACCAAAGACAGTGGCACATGCCTATAATCCCAGCAGTCTGGGAGGCTGAGACAGGAGAATCACACCAGCCTGGGCACCTTACCGACTTAGCAAAACCTTCCACACTGAGCGACTCTATGGGTAACTTTCTAGGAAAGGTGGAGCTGTAAGGATGGAGATGGGGTCCCTGGGAGAGCAGGGTGTGGAGAGGGCTCTGAGGGACCACTGGGGTGAAGGAACTCCCCTATCCTGATTTGAAGTGCGGCCACATGATCACAGGCACTGGTCAAAACTCACAAAAAAAAGGATGAATTTTGTTATAAATAAATGATACCTCGATGGGTCTGATTTTTGTTTTTGTGTTTGTCTTTTTGAGTCAGGGTCTCCCTATGCAGTTCAGGCTGGGCTTGAGCTCACTTTACAGCCCAGGTTGGTCTTGAACTCACAAGGATTCTCCTCCCTTAGCCTCCCGAGTACTGGATGACAGGTGTGGGCCACCATGCTCAGCTATAGGTCTGATTTTTGAGGGAAGAAAAGAAGAAAAAAGACAACAGGACCAGGACCCCAACCACAGAGGGTGTCTCGATGGACCAGAAGCAGGAAGAGACAGAAGCCCGGGCCCAGCTCAGGGGCTGGAGCCGCTGTCCTAACAAGACCGCCCAGGTGCGCTCGGGTGCCCAGACTGTGGCCCTGAATCCCCGAGCAGGGCTCAAGCTGGAAATCTGACCAGAAAGCCGCTGCCCACCCCGCCTGGCCGCTGCCCCGATGCCACCAGCAGTCCCAGGAGAGGACCGACCACAGATCGCCATGTGCCCAGGAACGGATCAAACCCTAGCCAGGCGCAGGGGTGCACGCATGGGCTCCCAGCCACTCCACCTGAAAATCCAAGGGCTGGGGTGTCTCAGCCCTCAGAGGCCCTGGCTCCATCCTGACTCCCACAAACCCGGTTCCAGTCCAGCTTTACCTCCAAATGTGTGCTTTGTGTTTTCCCGAAGCTCACATGGACCCTCCTGCCTCGGCCTCCCACGCTCCAGGATGACAGGCGCGCACAGCCATACCCGGCCTTCATTTTCCAATTTCCAAAGTTGTCAGACTTTTGAACTGTCAGATTTTTAAAGTGAAAACATCTCCAACGTAAAAGCCGCCCTAAATCCTAATTCCCCAATCTCTATGTCCTGCAAGTGCCAGCCGCTGGGACCCAGCAGAGGAACCCTGCGCTCCAGATCACCCCGCCAGCCCTGTGGTACCTTCTGGAACATCCTAGGCTTCCGCAGTGTCCGTGTGTCCGCCAGGGCTACCTTCCCCAGAATTCCCAGCTCTAGGGTGCCCTCACCCCCGGGCAGGGCGCCCGGAAGCCAGGTGGCTCTGGGCTTTCTCTTGAGTTCCCGCCCTGCAGGAACAGACGGGGCCCAGGAGGGACTCGGGGACCCGGTGTGGCCACGCAGGGACCTCAGGACGGCAGGGTGCCAGGGGTGGCACCAGCCCAGGGAAGGTGCCCGAGGACAGCTGCACCCGCAGGGTAGAGCCAGCTCCCCAGCAGGCACTGGGCTCACCAGAGATGGGGACCAGAACCAGGGCAGCTGGCGGGCAGAGGCTCAAGCTGCGGGTCTCTCACTTCGGAAGGAAAATAGTAATAATAATAATAATAACCCAGGATGCGTGAAAACCCTGTGCTCTCAGCCCCGGCCTCGGGCTCGAGCCTGGGATGGGATGGAATAGGTGGTGGCCAGGGCCAGGGCCCCGAGTTCACTCCCACGCTGCCCCGCGAGCCCCACTCCAGGCCCAGCCTGGCTGCCAGCAGCAGCAGCAGCTGGCAACAACACACCCAAGCACACATTCAGGAGGAGCCAGGGGCAAGGAGAGGGGACAAAAGATGGCACCAAGATGCAGTCACCACACAAGGACACGCTTCGGGAGCCACAGGCAGTGACACCCACCCACCACCCCAGCACTGCGGGAGGCTGAGGCAGGAGGGTCCGGAGCACAAACCCAGGCTGGGCCTTGTGGTGACGTCTCATAATTTAAAACATTTTAAAAGGCTGGGGACAGAGTTCAGGGTGAAATACCCGGGGCTCAATTCGCAGGACCACCAAATAATAATCACAATAATATACAAAACAGAGAAGGGAAACCCTAAGCGCTCCCGGAGACAGAGGCCTCTCACAGGAGCCAGACGCCAAAGCCATATGGTGCCACCCGTTCAGAGCAGGACAGAAAGGAAGAAGAAGAGGCAGGAAGCGGGCAGCCCGTCCCCAGCCCCCGCAGGCGGCCAGGGCAAGGGACTCTTGGGGCCCGCTCCCTTCTGTCCTTGCCGGTCCCAGCCAGTGCTTCCGTGCTGAAGCCTTCAGACTCCACTCCGAGAGCTCAGAGTCGGTACCCACGGGTCCACAGTCCCCACCGCACAGGCACAGGGAGGACCTGGGCCCTGCTGGTGCTGCCAGCCTCCTCTTGCCGGCCGGAACCCTCCCATGCGGCGGCCGAGGTCCCTCCCTCCTCCCTCCGGGCAGCTCGATGGCTGCTGGCTGGGTGACCTGGCTGGGTGACAGATTGGGGATGGAGTGAGGAGCTCTCCCTTCGGGGAGCAGGGCTGTATGCTGTGTTTATCACCTCAGGCCAACCAGAGAACAAAAATTCTGCAGAGGAAAAAAACCCACAGCTCATCACAAAGCTGCCTAGAGCAGGACAGCCTCGGGTAGGCGAGGCCAGAGCAGCCGTGGCCAGAGCAGCCCTGGCGGTCCACCTGCACCCCCACGTCCTCCCTGGGAGCAGCCGCGCGCCCCTCCCTGCCTCCCACCCGCGCGATCCGCAGGGCCTCACTGGCCGGGGTGAGCTCAGGACACACAGGAGCTGCCACCTCCTTCCTGGCTGCTGGCAGGCTGGGGCCCAGGCTCCGCACAGCAAGGGGATGGAAAGCCATTTTCAGCAGAGACCTGTCAGCCCCGGTCCTCTGCCCGGGACACCCTGAAGCTACCGGCTGGGCACAGGCAGACACCAGAGCACCCTGCACGCAGGGGGACAGTGGTGGACAGCAGGTGCCTCCCAGGCCTGGCGCAGCGGTGGTGGAAAGGGTCCCACGGTCATGGAGCTGGGCAGCCTCTACCTGGGCTGCGGTTTAGGAGCTAAAGGTCCAGCTGCCGTCTTAGGGACCCTGACAGAACTGACACTGTGGTGAGGGTATAAGGACTTCTGCTGAGCCTTCACTACCATGCCCCCAAAGCAGACCACACACACCCCAAGACCTAATGCCCCCCCATCTCAGCATCCGGAAGGCAACAATCTCAAGTCCCCCCAAAGTGAATGCAGCCATCAGCCACCAGCTGCTGAAACCGCTGAGCCAGCTACCACAAGACCAAAAGGGCCTGGCCCCGGGGGAGGAGGACGCCAGGCACCCTACACACACCAGGGGCCGGGACCGGGCACTGCACCCTGGGAACCAGCTCGGCCTGCCGTTTCTCACCACAGGCAGCCGGCTGAAATTAACCCGAGAAGCCGCACCTTCAGGCACGGTCTGGTGGACAGCCAGCCCGGAGCAGGGTGTGTCCCCCACTCGGAATCTGGGTCACGCTTAGATAACTCCAGGGAGCCCAGCTCGCCACCCACCCGGGGGCCGGGCGCACGCGCGCCGCAGACCTCTCTGCCAGCGCCCTCCGAGGCAGCCTCGGACTTCACGGGAACTCGGGACCTCTGTCTTTGCTCGACAGAGGAGGCTTTGCTGCTCGCCGCCCCCTCGGGACCTGTGGTTTATTTATAAATAAAGCAGCCAGGCTTTTACCTGCCGGAGATGCCTGCAGGCTTCCCAAGGTGGGAGAAGATGAAGTCCACCCAAGGCCGGACCTGAACCCCGAGACAGGACCCAGCCCCTCATTTTCTCCTGCTCATCCGTCTTTCCCACTGAAATCCACATTAGGGCTTCCCAGGCCAGCTGCGCCCAGAGAGGGCAAAGGGGTCTGCTTCCCTGCAGGCCAGAAGCCAACGAGGTGGGCATTCCGGGCTGAAGGGACAGGGACCCAGGCCCCCACCCCAGCTGGACGCCGCGGCCCTCTCTGGGTCAGGCCACCCAGGGCGCACTCTGCCCACACCGGCTTCTCCCTGGGAAGGCCTCGCAAAGGTCCCCGTGGGCGCTGGGCCCCACCCTGAGCATAAGGCCCCCACTTATGGGAAGCAGGGATGGAGACCCAGGTCGGGCTCCCAGGCCAGCTGTGGAGCGGGTGAGGGCAGCCCGGAAAGGCTGGCCAGGGCCCCGATGGCGCCCGGCCCTGGGGCCAGAAGCGCCCAGGCCCCGGCGTGGTCTGGGCTCACCTCGGAGAACTCAGAGCCCGAGGAGCAGGTTCCAGGGACCCCGGCGCGGCCCCTGTCCACCAGGGGCCCTAAGCTGGCCCCAGCACGGCGCCGAGTCCCCGCGCGCCCGCCCCCGGCCCGCACCCACTCCCGGTCTCCCGGGCGCACTGGTGCCCGCCGCCGGCCCGCGCCCGTCCCCGGCCGGCAGAAAGGATATGGCCATTCGGTGATCTTTTTGGCGTACTTCCTCACCACGTTGTCCTCGCTGAAGAGGAACAGGGAGCGGTTGACCGTGAGGCAGTTCTGGCGGACGGGGATGGGGTTGTACAGGGCCATGGTGCGCGCCCGCTGCGCCATCGACTGCTTGTACACCCGCTGCGCCCCGGGCTGCGCGCCCGGCCGCGGACCCCCGGCCCCGCGCCCGCCGCCGGCGCCCGCGACCACCGCGGCGGCCGCACCCGGGCCTGCGCCCCCGTAGCGCGCCGGCATCTCGTCTCCGAAGCGGGCCATCCTGCGGAGAGCACGGGCCCCGGTCACGCTGCGGCGGGCTGCGCAGGAGGACGCCCCGGCGGCTGGAGCTGCGACTGCGGAGCCGCCCCTCGGCCCAGCCCATCGGCCCGGGCTCGGCGCTCAGGCGGCGGCGGTGGCCCGGGCCGGGCCGGGCATCGCGGCGCGGGGCATTGCGCGGGGGCGGCGCGGGGCGCGGGGCGATCCCGCCGCCCACTCGAGCAGGGAGGAAAAATCAGTTATGGAAAAAAGAGCGAGCGCCCCGCGCACACCCCCCGCAGCAGCAGCGCGCACTGGTTCGCGAAGGAGGCCTCGCCGCCCCTCCTCCTCCTCCTCCTCCTCCTCCTCCTCCTCCTCGTCCTCCTCCTCCTCCTCCTCCTCCTCCCTCTGCCGCTGCTGCCGCGGCTCCTCCGCCTCCTCCTCCCGGGGCGCAGTGGGAGCCTCAAATTCCTCCGAGGTCCAGGTCAGGCTGGCATCTTGCAAAAAGAGTGCGCTCGGCCCATTTAAAAATAAAAATCTTTGAGGGGAATGAAAAAAAAAGCAATCCTTGCCGGAGAGCAGAGCAGCCAAAAAAAAAAAAAAAAAAAAAAAAATCCCTCGTTGAATGTGGGTCCACTTTCCCGGACCCGGAAAACGCGGAGCTCTCCAGCCGCCTCCCCCCGTGAAAGCCGAGGAAGGGGTGAGCCGGGAGGACGGGCGGGCAGGGGCGCTCCCCGGGCCGCGCGGGGAGGCTTCCAGGCGAAGGGTCCTGTTTTTAAAAAATTTTTAAAAATCTTTTTTCTTCTTCCTGAATCACCCGCAGCCGCCTCTTCCGCTGGAAAGGGGGTGCGCGCGCGCTGCGTGGCGCTCGGCGGCGGCGCCTCGGCTCGGGGTTCAACTGCAGCGATGAAACCCTGAAAATTCCCAGGCTGGGGGCAGGGATGACGGGGGCCGCGCTCCGGAGCCGCCGGTGCTGCAGCGCCTGGCGCCCCCACCCTGGTGCCGGTGCCGCCGCCTCCGCCGCCTCAGGGCTCGGCTAAAATAAGAGCGCGCGGACGGCGCGGCCGAGGAGGACGCGGGGAGCCGGCGCACAGGTCCGCACCGCTGCCCGCGGGCGCGCTCCGAGTGGAGGCGCCGGGACCCGCCCGCCGCACGTGACGGCCGCGGCCAATGACGAGGGGGCTCGGGCCGGGGGTCGCGGGCTGGGGCGCGGGGTGGGTCGGGCCGGGAGCTGCTCGGCGGCGGGGGCGCGGAGGGGCGCGCGCCCGCGGAGGTGCAGCGCGTGCCGCGCGGGGCGCACTCGCGTCCGCTGCACGGGAGCCGGGAGCGCGGCTGGAGGTTACTTCTGGGAAAGTTGCAAACGCCTCGGCCCCGGACGCCGCAAGGAAGGTGTTAGCCCGGCGTGGGGACCCCGGCGGCCCGATCTGAGCTCTCCAGAACACAAGGGATCACCAGGTCCAGGTCGGCCAAAGGGGGCGTCCGGGGCGCGCTGCGGGCCCCAGCACCTCTCCAGGTCCTCGCGTGTCGAGTTTTCCTGCTGTGGGTTCTGCAAACTCCAAGGGCCTCTCGGCCTCTGCATCGAGCACGCGGCCTGCAGGGGACCCCCCCCCCGCACCCCGTGGGCCTTCCCGGGTGCACAGGGAATTGATCACTTAAAGTTATGAAATGTCACCACATTTTCACGGCATAGGGACCGGCTGGCGGGGTGCGGAGGAGAAGAGAAAGGCGTTCGAAGCCAGCCCTAGCGCCCTTAGCCCTTCGTCGGCATTCAAGTTCATTTGGAACATTCTGGAAATACATCTTTCAATGTTGATTCCACCATAGCTACGGCAACTGTGAGATTTTTCTAACTTAGCGAACTGTGGTAACAGGGCACTTGGGAGGTGGAGGCGGGAAGATCCCAAATTCCGGCTTCCCCAGGGCAATATAGCAGCTCAGCGAAATCCTGTCTCAAAATAAAAAATAAGAGGGCTGGGGATGGGGAACAGTGCAAAGGCTCCAGGTCCAGTCCCCAGTGCCCCCTGGAAGAGGCCTTTGATCTTGGGAGGCTACGAACAAAATGACCCCAGAGCGCTCGCAGCTGCTAGGTGGGTGCGGGTAGTGCAGTTGGGACTTCACGGTTCTAAACCTGCCTCCAAGACGGCTGGGCTTGAGTGCATGGGCAGCGCCTCCAGGATCCCTTCCCTGCTCCCCCCTGCACCCCGGGATGGAGCCCAGTCCCCTTGCACTGAGCTGACCCCCAGCCCTACTCATTTATTTATTTATTTATTTATTTATTTATTTTTTTTTTGTCTTTTTCCTTTTTATCGGTACCAGAGATCGAACTCACGACTGCCTGCTTGCAAGGCAGGAGCTAATGCCGCTGAGCTAAATCCCCAGCCCCCTCATTTATTTATTTATGAAGCAGGTGCTCGTTAAGTTGCCCGGACTGAATCCAAAGTCACCATCCTCCTGCTTCAGCCTCCTGGAGTGCTGGAAAGTTTAAATCCTCTGGGCCTGTCCTGGATGCCAGCCCAGGAGGAAATGTGGGCACAGAAATCCTGCCCGAGAACACATGGCACTATTCGCGCGGGCTGAACAGTGAACTGTCCCACATCAGGGAGCACGGTTGGGGTGAAGCTCAGGCTTCCCACCCGGGAACGGGACGGGGCAGGGCTCCCACAGACCCAGGCTGAACCCCAGAAGCTGACTGGGGACAGAGTGTGGTGTGTCATTCCTCTTACCGAGCGCGAATGTAATTTAAAAAAAAAATAACAAAAACCAGGAAGAACTAGGATGAATCTAAACTGGTATAACCACCGTGGAGACCACTGTGGAGGGTCCTCAGGGCACAAAACCTACAAATACCATTTCACCCAACTGTCCCCTTCTGGGCATCTTCCTGGAAGAATGAAAGGCTCCATGTTACAGTGACCCGTGCACACCCAGAGCACGGTTCATGACAGCTGAATCGCAGAAACAGCCTCTACATCCAGCAACACATGACTGGGTACAGAAAATGCGGTATTCACACTGCCTGGAGTACTACTCTGTAGTAAACAAGGGTTAGCAGCTGTTTGTAGCAAAATGGATGCCCCTTGAAACTGTAACTTTAAGAGAAGTAAATCAGATACGCAAGCTTGAAGGTCACATGGTTTCTCCTACATGAGGAACCCAAAGCTTAAGTAATATAAAGAGAAAAAATCAAAGAGGAAAGGAAACAGACTCCATGGAGATAGGAAGGGGAGAGAGAGGCTGGTGGATGGGGAGGGAAGTGTGCCAGTGTGCAGGATATTATTACAAACATGCACCACTAGAAGATTTTACAGCTCCATCCAGCTGGTGGAGGGAAGCCGAGGCACACAGGTGCCCCTCGAGGGCGGAGGAGAAGCCAGGGAACCTTACGGTCGCGCTGTGTGTGAGCTGTGGAGGCAGCTTGCATAAATCATTTTGTAAGTTTTCATTGAGCTGGGCGCAACTCACACCCGCAGGGTTTGGTTTCCTTTCATTTGGTTTTCGTACCAGGGATTGAACTCACCACCTCGCGCTTGCTAGGCAGGTGCTCATGCCACTGAGCTAAATCCCCAGGCTGCTTGTCTACAGCTTTTGTTTAAATCTCAATTTAAAAAGTGTCTGTAAAGCCGGGCACAACTGTGATCCCAACACCTGGGAGGCTGAGGCAGGAGGATCGTTGTGAGTTCTAGACCAGTCTGGGCTACAAAGGGAGCTCAAGGCCAGCCTGAACTGCATAGAGAGGCCCTGTGTCAAAAGAAAAAAACAAGCATTTTTCATGCTGCTGGGCGTGGGGCCTGAGTGCCACCACCAGTCACATAAACCTGAAAGAATAATCCTTTGCACAGCGTCTCTGCAGCAGCCTGGGCCCTCTGTAAAGCATAGGGTGGAAAGCACAGTGCTCTGGGCCCTCTCCCCCATGCCCACAGCAGATAAGCTGGCTGCGTATCAGCCTGTGAAGTGTCACAAAAATTCTGATTCCTGCCAGGCGTGGTGGCACACTCTGGAAGGCTGATGCAAGAGGATCCCAAGGTCCAGTGTAGCCCGGGCAGCTTAACAACTCAGCCAGCCCTTGTCTCAACATAAAAAATAAAAAGGTGTAACCTGAAGTTTGCCTGAGGCTGGTCTGATATGTCGGGTTTCCCTCCCCTCTTTAGAATCTTCCTGAATCCTCCAGCTCCCCAAGTGAGCAATAACTCTTTTCCAGAAAGCACTGGACTCAGTCTCCCCACAGTGTGCTGGGCTTCGCAGGTGCTGACCTTGGGGCTCACCGCTCTTAGAGGAAGGGAGCTACAACTCACTAACCCCAGAACCACCTGCACCTAGGAAAGAGGGACAGACGCGCACAAAATGCAGACTCCTGCACCGTGGCTGCCTCCACCCAGACCAGCAACACCAACCAAGCCAAAAGACGGAGGCACTCGAGCCACGCAGACAGAGGCAGCCTCGCCTCGAGCGGTGGCCAGAAACCACCCCCACGCACTCAGCCTGATCTTGGCTCTGTCTGCCGACTGGGGCTTCCTTTGCCCATCAGCAGGGGTGGTATTCAGTTCCCAGAGCCCAGGGCTTTGCAATAGATGCTTGCAGTGGCTGGTGCATCATGTGGAGCAGAAGTCAGCAGTGTCACGAAGGGGCTGTCCAGGGGGCCAGGGTCCCTGTTTGTAAACATCCGGAGACTACTGTCCCCTACCGCTATGCTGCCCCAAATACGTAACTACAAATTGCATTTGTTTGACTTCTAAGACAGTCGCCCGCAGATCCAGGCACATTTGGCTGCAAGGAGGGCCAAGCTTGTCACCATCTGCTGGGTACCTATGAGAGGTAAAGGCCCAGATCTGTGGGAGACAGCAATGAAGATGAAAACCCAAATCTGCCAGTGCAGACGTCGGAGGGTCACCGTGCGAGCACCCGAGAACCAACCCGGATGCCGAATGTAAAGCCAGCACCTACAGTCCCCGCTACTAGGGAGGCTGAAGCAGGAGGATGGCTCGAGGTCAGAAATTCAGGGCGAGCCCAGGAAGCGTCGCAGGACCCCTGACCTAGGGCAGTGAACGTGGCTGTCAGCCCAGGCAGAGCGACCAGGCAACACGTGCCCTTCAGACTCCCAAGACTGAACAAGGCGAGGGTGACTCGGGCCCTGACCAGGGTTCGGATCCTAACCACGCTAGCTCTTCCTAGCACGCCGCCCTTCCAGCAGCGGTGCTCGCCGCTGACCCTCAGCTTCTCCAGCAAAGCGGGGAGAAGGCGTCTTCCTGGACAGAGGCCAAGTGAGGTTAGGCAGGCAGTAGCTGGCGGATGATGCACAATGAGGGTCGGGTGGGAAGTGATTTTGTTGCTTGTTTGTGTCTTTGAGTTGGTTTTATTTTGGTTTGGTTTTTTGAGACAGGATCTCACTAGGCGGCCCAGGCCAGCCTCAAACTCACGGCGATCCTCCTGTCTCAGCCTCCCGAGTGCTGGGATGGCAGATCTGCGCCACCACGCCTGGAGAGACTTTCAATTGCCATAATTTAGCGCTGGAGACATCACTCTGGAGTGGAGCATTTGCCTAATCTGGCCTTCCCCAGCACAGGAAAAGACGGAGACAGACAGACAGACAGACAGGGCAGCAGGGGGCTGGCTCTTCACGGCCTGAGCTCCAGCAAAACTGCACAGAGCAGGACATGGTGACCCACACCTGTCAACCCAGCACTCCGGGTGGGAGGCTGAAGCAGGAGGAGCTCACGTTTGAACCCTGCTAACTTGGTGATTCAGTGAGACCCTGTCTGCAAAATGAAACCGCTCAGGGTGGTGTAGCTCTGTGAAGAGGCCCCAGGGTTGAGTCCTCAGCTCACACACAAAACCCTTAGAACACGGCGCGGACTGACCCTGCAGGGACCTCCTGTCAGTGCTCCCCAGACCGTGTGGCCACCATCCTCACAGCGCTCCCTTTGGGCAATGAACTGTGTCACCTAGAGACAGCTGTGGTGGCTGCGGGGGTACACGTGAGGTCCCTGGAGACTTCCTCCCACACCATCTCTGGGTTCTGCCCATCTCTGGGCATCTCTGGGTTCAATGTCAGAGTGGGGGCTCCTGGGTACACCCCTGGGCTTTCAGGGTGATTGCATATACCTCACAGATCTTTCCTTCATTCACAGTGATTCTGTGCATAACTTTAGGGGTTTTTCCTCTCTTTTTTCTTTCTTTCTTTTTTTGGGGGGAGGCAGGGTTTCACTCTGAAGCCCAGGCTGGTGATCCTCCTGCCTCAGTCTCCTGAGTGCTGGGGTGACAGGCATGCACCACCACACCCAGCTCTGGTGGACGATGTTTAACAATTCCCTTTCCCTGGTGCCGGGGATCAAACCCAAGGCCTCTCACTCCTAAGCAAGCCCCCTCCTGCCGCACCGCACCCAGCCTGTGAGCCGGTTAGAGCAGGAACTCCAGCCTGCACATGCGCTGTCAGACACACAGGGCACCCCACAAGCCAGAATCAAGCCTTTTCTTTTCAGGCTGAATGGGTCAGGTATTTTGTTCCAGCAAGAGAAAATTGGCTAAGACATTCAGCAGGAGAACACGCTATTTAATAGTCATGGTTAAGGGTGCAGAGCTAGAGGGCCCTCGGGGCTCACGGGGGAGACAGAGGGAGGGGCAGGGGGTTCAGGGTAAGCACAGTAGTGGACACAGAGGAACTCGGGCTGGGGACTCTGTACTATTTACCGCTTTTTTTTTTTTTTTTTTTTTTTGTCTTTTTCCTTTTTATCGGTACTAGGGATCGAACTCACGACTGCCTGCTTGCAAGGCAAGGCGCTTATGCCACTGAGCTAAATCCCCAGCCCCTGTATCGCCTTTTGGTAAGTCTGAAATTTCAGCCTAATAAAAAGGAGAATGTGTGACAGTCAGAGGTCACACATGTCCCAGGTTCGCTCCTCCCTGCCTTCATCTCGCTGAGCACCCCGATGCTGCTATGCCTAGCTGGGTGGTTTTGTAAACACGAAGCAAAGAGATGAAAATCCCTGTGGTCACGGATGGGGCAGAGAACTGAGCATCAGGGAGGGAGACACGGCCCGCCCCCGGGACAGGATGCCTGCCCTCTCCTTTCCCAGGGGTCCCATCCCGATGACCCCCAGGATCCCCCGTTTTAGCTGATTATTTTGCTATTGACTACCAGGTTGTTAATTAACTTCTTTTCCACACTTTTTCATTTTCCAGTGGGAAGCATCATTTTTTTCCATCGCTGTTATCTTATCCCACTCAGTTCTCGAGCGGGTATACACCGTGTGCATCACAGTGGGGTCAACACTGAGAAAGAGACGGGTTCCAGTTCGCCATCCAAGAGGCTGTAATTAACCCGGAGAAATGACAGCACACCTGTAAGTGTTTAAGAAGCAGCAGAAAATAGCCAGCCGCAGTACCAGAGACTCACAAGAGAGGCGGCCACAAAGCACCACCTGTCAGGTGCCCCCCGCCCAGTGACAGGCAGTGATTATTAACTTCCGCCGGAGGGTGGGCCTTGCTCTGTCCCTGCAGCCTGGACGTCCCTCCGGGGCCTGCGCCCACCACAGCTGTTCTGCACAAAGCCAGGCAGCTTCCGTGTTACACACCGCACACCAGCCAAGGCTATTTATAGGGGCGCTGTCAGCGTGGCTTCTTCCAGTTGAAAATTCTAGTTCCCTTCAGGGCTAACTATTGTCTTAATTCTAATCTTTCTCCTTAGTAGGAACCGATCACCAGTTTGACCCTCGTCTTCCGCAGCTCCCTGTCAGTGTCATTTACCCGGAATCCACCTTGCTGGGTTGAACTGGTTGCCCTCTCTCTGGCCCACAGCATCCATCCTGGGCTCTCTGTCATAACCCAGAAAACCCCTCTGCCTCGCCTGTTAGAGCCTTTTATTGTGGGGTCCCTGGCTCGCTCTTCTTGGTTTACTCCATGGTCCTGATGGAGCACATCCCCCAGCAGCTTTCTTAGAAAGGATGGCTGCAGGTTTTCTAGGTATCTGTTGCTGGAGGCAAGGCCGGGGAGGAGGCCAAACCTAGTGACATAAAATAAAATAGCAACATGAGTTTGTTATTATTTTTTACAGGTTAGGGGTCAATCAGTTTCAGCGAGGTAGTGCTCGCTTGGAGTTTCACATAGGTGTAATCAGATAGTATTAGGACCTGGAGTTTCGGCAAACATTTCACCTCACACAAGGCTGGCACCAAGGCTGCAAAGATTCAAACAACTGGGGTTTCTTGAGCAGCCATCTCCATGTCCACGTGGCCTCTCCACATGGGGTCTCCACAAGGCAACTTCAGGAGCTGACGTTCTCTTCTGCCAGCTTAGCAGTTCAAAGGCTCAGGACTTACAGAGAAGTCACATCCTCTCTACAGCCTCACCTTGGAGTCAGTTTCCCACACCGTCAGAAAAGTCTCAAAGACTAAGTTTTCAGGTAAAAACAGGCATCCCAACATAAAGAATTCGAAAAGTTAGACCCAATCCTGAAAATAAAAGACCCAATCAAAGATGAACAACTGAAATGAACAGATATTTCTCAGGTGAAAAAGTATAAAGTGGAGTACTACTCTGCCATAAAGAAGGGAAACTTGAGTCATCTGTGGGAAAAAGGATGCACCTCGAGATCATAACTGCTTGAACTAAATCAGACACACAAAGTTAAATATGGAATAGCTTCTCTTATGAGACGTGTTGGGTACCTGCACCAACTCCCTATACGAGTGTAACTGTAGTGAATTAGGAACATGGACTAATGGCAAAATACACCCTGGAGAAAACAATATGGACTCAACTCTTTTGTGGGGAACTTTTGAAAAATAGCATCAGGAAGCAACGATTTTGACACTGGCATTCAAGATATAGCATTTCTAAAATAAGAGCCACTTAGTCTCTTTGTCAGACCCCATAAAAAGACTTACACTACTAGGTATTAAAGCCGTTCACCAAGTCCTCAAGCTCTAGCCATGGAGTCAGGGGAAAGACTGCATTTCCTTGTCCCCTGGTTTGCCAGGGACATGTGACTAGTGCTGGCCAGTGAGCCAAGGTCATGTGACTAGTGCTAGCCAATGAGCTCACAGGGGAAATGAAGGTTCTCATTCTCAGTGGCACGTCTAACACGGTGCCTGAGATGGAGCTACCAGCCACACAAGGCAAGGAACACCCTGTTTCCCCACAAAAAGACATTACACACAAAATTACCAGCTTTGAAAACTAGAGACCTAAGATCTCAGCCCCAGGGTGTCTGGCCTGGCCTTACCTGCCCCTGGAGGAGACGCCCAGCAGACCGTCTGACTGGGGCCGGCGGCCAGCTCTAGTTTTCAAGATGATTCTGTTCCAGGTAGGACTTATTTTCAGGGAAAAATGGCATTAAACAAAATGTGAGCTCGGATTCCTACACCACCCCGCCACACATCCAGGACTGAGAGCCAGGTGTGCCTAGAGGGAAAGGACATTTCTGGAGAGTTCTGCCGACCCCACATGCCCCTCTCCTTGAGGAATGCACCTCCCTGCTACGCAGGACACAGCACAGCTGCAGATGGCCGGGGCTCGGGGGGACCAGAGCGGAAACAGATGAGCAGAGGTCCCCTTTGTGAGAATATTTGGGTAGGCGAGGTGTCTGCGGCATCACCCAGCCCTAACTCAGGGTCCCAGAGCATCGTCCTGCAGTCCCCGAGGTCCACCTGCTGGGGCTCGGTCTTCACGGTGACCACAGGCACAGGTGGTATGACTTCAGGAGGGGGAGTCCAGTGGGAGGTCATCGGGGTCACCACTTCTGAAGGAAAGGAAGGTGGTCTGCACGGGAGCCCTGGCTTCCTAGCTCCCCTCGGGCCGTCCAGGACCTTGTGTGGATGCTGTCACCCTGAACCCCTAGGACAGTCACCTTGATGCCTCTTGTCTTCCTGAAGTTGTCCCCGGAGGCCCATGTGTTCCAGGACCCCCCACTATGTGGGAGGCGGAGCTTTGGGGCAGATCCCTAGGTCTCTGGGGGTGAGGCCTGGAAGGACACCTTGGGGCACCAAGCCCAGCCTTGGGCATCTCATTACAACAGTGCCCCACACTCAGGATAATGAGGGCCGTGATGCTCACGCCGGTGTCTCCACCTGGGAATCCAATCAGTGAGCAGCCGACAGGTACCAAGTTTTCCCAGAAAAGCTTATGGGTGGGAGCGATAATTTTGGGGGGCGCTGGGGGTTAAACCTGTGCCTTGCCTCTATTAGGACTGTTCTGGCTTCAGCCAGCCCCCAGCCTGGGTACACTTTTATAGGGCTTCTTCCCTAATGTGACAGCTCGGCGCTTAGGTCATTAAGTAGTAAACTGGTCCTCGTTAGTCAGAGCTGAAAGAGGGAGATGGGTGGGGTTGGCAGAGTCAGGAAGGTTTCCAGGAGGAGGTGCCACATGAGAATGAGATTTTTAAAAACTTACACAAAACTTAGGATGGTGAAGCACTGTTGTTTGTCAAGACATTGACAACTTAATTAAGCATTTTGTTATATTATGATAGTTATTAATATTGTAATTTTTAGTCAATTTTCCTAAGTGCTGTACAGATACTGACTTGCTTGTCACCAGGATTAATGAAATGATTACTATTATCTGAATTTCATAAATCAGGCATGGAGAAGATAAGGAACTAGCCTCTGTCCACAGAACTAACAAGAAAGACTTGAATTCGAATTTGGACCACCAGGCACCCCACACATCACAGCTGCACCCCACACATCACAGCTGCGGAAGCAGGGGGTGAAGACGGTGGAGAGAGAAGACCCCGTTTCTGCAGAGGTCTGGAAGAACAATGGGGGCTCTGGGGGACTCAGTGGTCTGTAATTTGCAGAGCCTGGGGATGACTGTCTTGGGGGGCAAAATGGCTTTGCAGATGCAGTCAGGTTATAGAGCTTAGCATGAGCTCATCCAGGTGCTCCAGGAGCAGAGAAGGAAACTCAGGAACAGAGCAGTGACTGAGGGACACAGCAACCGGCCAGGAAGACCAGGAGCCGGGCAGCACGGCAGCGAGGGGAGGAAATGGCACGGGTTCTCCTGAGAGCCCCCTGGAGGGTGCACCACCTGCTGTCACGTACGTGGGACTTCTGATATCCAGAACCACGAGTGACAGCTGGGTGCAGTGACGCACACTCATGATCCCACTCTCAGGAGGCTGAGGCAGGAGGATCTCTGCAAGTTTAAGGGCTACAGAGTGAGCTCAAGGCCAGCCTGGACTGCACAGCGAGACCCTGTCTCAAAAAACAAAAAACAAACAAAACCACAAGTGACAAGTGCCTGCCACTGCAAACTACCTAGTTTTGGGTAACTTTGCCCCAATCTGACACTCTGGGACATCCGGAGAGCAAGACCATACAACAGTTACCTGTCTGTGTCCCCTGACTGCAGACCACCTTGTCCTCAAGGTCACTGGTGTCACTGTGTATCCCAGAGTCTTATCCCACGGCTCGGGGACTCTTGTGTATCTGTCCTTCCCTCTGTGGGCCCATCCGAGGCTTCCAGTCTGGGGCTGTGGCGAATGCTTCTGCACAGTTGCTTGGGGTCCCTGCTCTCATTCTTTGGAGTAGACCCCCAGGTAGAGTTAGTGACCCCTTCTTTAACCATCTGTTTCATTCTCTTTTTTTCTTTCAGGAGTCCCCACACCCTTCGCCCCAGCAGCATCAGGTATTTAAATATTTCCAGATGACACCATGCAATCTCTGGCGCCTGCCTTAACAGCGAACCAATTTAAAAGTTCACTTTAGGGGATTTAGCTCAGCAGCATAAGAGCCTGCCTTGCAAGCAGGCAGTCGTGAGTTTGATCCTCGGTACCAATAAAAAGGAAAAAGACCAAAAAAAAGTTCGTTTTAAATTTGCAAATTCCGGTACGGGGAAGGTCGGGGCGAGAGCGAGCAGGTGCTGACCCCGGTGGGGTCAGGAGGGCCGTCGGTCATCATTCTGTTTTCTCTCCTTTTGTATTTTCTCCAAAAGGAAAAATTTTTTTTTTCTTTTCATGCAAAGTATTTGAGAAAGTCCCCATTCGCACGGCAACAAGACACCTGCGCTTAATCACAGAAACAAAAGTACTGGAGCTGCTGTATTCCGAGGCGATTGTAAACTAAGTGGGCCTCGACCCTCCGGCCAGCCAGGACACTCGCTTACATATTCATGTGCATCCCGAGAAAGGGAAACGGAACCAACATGTGTCTGCCTTTACAAACCGGGTCTCAGGTATCCTTGAGAAAGAACCGAGCTGCATCTCTGCATCTGGAGAAAACAAGTCCTCCGCCCCCAGAGGTAAACTGAGGGGGGCCAGAGTCCAGCGCGTTCCTCCTGGAATGCGAGGCACAAATTACCAGATCCTTGGTCCATCATGGCACAGGTGCAGCTGGGCATCTATTGTGCACCACGTCCTGCCCAGGGCTTCCAGGGCGTCGCTGTAAATAGAACAAATAACCACCCAGTCCTGTGAAATCACAGTGGGGGACGCAGAACCAGGGTGGGGGGATGAACAAACTCAGGCGGGTTTATCAGAGGTCACAGAATGAGTTTAAAGAAGCGGGGCAGGGCAGTGTCCAGAGGGGCTGCTTTGGGAGAGAGCTCCCCATGAAGGTGGCACCCACACAGAGGCCCAGGACTGGACACCGGGTCCCCTGGGGAAGGGGGTGGGGGGCACGGCGCGGACCAAGCTGGGTATACTGAGGATCAGAGAGGAGACCCGGCCCTCCCTTGGGGTATGGGGATCTCCGTCTGGCTGCTCTTGGGGGCCCGGAGCTCGGGCCTCCCCAGTCAGCTGCTAGGAGATGGGGGCGCTGGAGTGGGCCTGGCCCTGGGGTCTCAGCTTTTTTGCCTCCTGAGCTGAGCCGCTTCTGGGCACCAACCCTTGCTGCCTGCTGTCCCTGGAACCCAGGAGCCGAAACCGACCTCTGCTCCTCTGGGTGCCGGTGGCAGTGTCACATCTTGGCGACAGGAAAACAGCAGAGACCAGGTGAGACGTGGCCAGGGGGGTCACGGGGCTGACACGGTGTGCTCAATCTGGACCTTGCTGCCCCTCGGGGAAGGTGAGGCCGATGAGCAGATGACGACTCC